CCACAAAGGGAGGGTGTGTAGGCTACCGAGGAAGGAAGGAGGACCCACACCCTGCAGGCCCTCCCTAGGACGGCCCCTTCTTCAGGGTCTTGGTCAGCATGTAGCTCAAGCCTCCTGTGGACATGCTGTGCTGGCTGGTCTCAGTAGCATGTGCCTGGAAGTAGCCTGAGGCGGCTCAGGGAACAGTCCAGGTGCCAGGTCACTCTGGCAGGGACCAGGGCCCCAGGCCCCAGGTTGGAAGGAGACCAAGGGGGCAGCTGCCCTGGAGGAGTACCAGGCCTTCCTCTGACCCCAGCTCTGCCCCTGCACTGTTCCATGTTTCCACCAACCTCATCGCCAAAGTTGCTGCCCCGGCTATCGATTCCCGCTTCTTCCAGAGAATAAAACTGGTTTCTATTTTACGTTAAAAAAAAAAAAAAATCGTGCATAGGCGACGATTGACAAAACCATGGCTTAGTCCTCAGAGTAACATCCTTGCTCTTCAGCACGATGAAGAGGTCTTGTGCAGCACATGGACCCAGGGCGACTCGTCTTTTGCTCTCCTGAAGGCTGCTCCCAGGAGCACTGATCCTGGATCCAAGCGCGTCCCTGACAACTGCATATAACGTGCGCCTCTGTCCCCACGGCAGCCTCTTTGCTCCTCAGCACTTCGGTGAGGTCTTGTGCGGCCGACGCGCCGTGCAAATATCAGCAGCCTGGTCCCCTTGATGACGTGTGCAGAGCGAGGGATCCCCAAGGCTTTCAGAGGCTAGTTTTCAGAAGTCACTTGCCACACCCTTCTTCCTGGTCTTAGTCTGCACGCTCCAACTGACCCCTGTCCACCTTGGGTGACCTGGACGGTATTTGAAATGCCGGTGGCATAGCTCCGAGCCTCACAGCAACACACGGGGCGCCACGCTGACCGTAGGTGGTAGCACAATAGATTGCTGTTGTTGTGACAGCCCCGACCCACAGCGGCCCCACGCACAACAGAAGGAAACACTGCCGGTCCCGCGTTTGAGCCTCTTCTTGGAGCCACTGCGTCCATGCAGCTTGCCCAGGACCTTCCTCTCTCTCGCTGCCCCTCCACGGTACCAAGCACCACGTCCTTCTCCAGGGACTGGGCTCTCCTGGCCGGGTCTAAAGCACGTGAGACGAAGTCTCGCCGCCCTTGCCTCTGAGGAGCGCTCTGGCCGTCCTTGCAAGGCAGCTCTGCTTGTCCGGCAGCCTGCGGAGCTTCGCCAGCGCCAGCCTTCAAGTGCACCAACTCTTCTTCTGTCTCCCTTGTTGCATGCCGACTTTCACGTGTGTGTGGTGATGAAAATATCATGGCTGGGGTCAGGGGCACCCTAGTTCTCAAAGTCACGCCCTTGCTCTTCAGCAGTGTAAAGCCTCAGCAATGATTCATTACCAAGGTCTGCGTTGGGGTAGATAATATTCATGCCGTCATTCTGGTTGCTGGAGTTTGAAAACGTTGGAGTTACATCAGATAAGAAACCAGGAACACTGTGTAAAGAAGTGATCCTACACTAACTGGCTTCCTTCCTGGAGGGAGAGGGGGAGGGAGGGAGCATTGCTCATTTCTCAGCCCCCAAGCAAAGCTTCTCTTAGTTGACACAACACCAAAACACAAAACAACACTCACTGCCATGGAGTCCATGCCGACACATAGCAACATTACAGGACAGTGAGCTAGTTAAGGTTTATTTGCCAACCTGGCCAATAAACACATGTGGGGTTAATTGAAGGGATAAATGGCTCGCTGAGCCTCGCCTTTTTGGTTCTCGGGTCTCTTGCTCTCTGAGGGTCGGACCAGCTGATGGTCGGTCTCTGATGGCCAGGTGCAGCTGCCTTAGCCAGTTCCCTGCTTCAGCCGGCAAGGCTCACTTCTTGCAAGACATCCCTGAGGAGAAGCCGCATGGACCTACCCCGATGCAGCCCTGGGGGCTGGACCAGCGGTGTGGAGACCCCTGCCAGCACTGAGATGCTTACACGCTCACTGATTCAGCTTTCCTTCTGCAGTTGGCATCATAGTGTGTGTTTTGTGAGATGGAGGAGGACTCTGTAGATCAGTGTTGGACATATGGCTAGGTTGGATTTATTGGCTTGGACAGCACTGGGTTGGGGTGCTTTCATAACGTATACTCACCCTTTATATAAAACCCTCTCCTATGCATATGAGTTTCTGTCGATTTGTTTCTCTAATTTACCCAGACTAACACAGACAGGGTAGAACGGCCCCTGTGGATTTCCAAGACTGTAACTCTTGACTGGAGTGGAAAGCCACGTCTTTCTCCCTGGGAACAGCTGGTGACTTTGAACCGCTGTTCCTGCAGGTAGCAGCTCAACATACGCAGCACACCACCAGGACCCCTGAGACAACCCTAAATCCTAACCCCGATGCACGGGAAGGCCGTTTCTTTCCACTGGTTGCCAGCATCGGCAGTCATGTCCTGTGTTTGCCAGAGCATTGCTGCTTGTGGGGATCTTGTGGTGGACTCACGCGGTCCTCGGGTGCTGGAGACTGCCCTACAGAAGCTCCAACTGCCCTCTCATGGGTTCTCATCAAGAACACACACACACACACACACACACACACACACACACACACACACTCACTGTCACAGAGTGAATGCTGAGTTAGTGAACCCTGAGACTGTAACTGTTTACCAGAGTTGAAAGTCCAGTGTTTCTCCTGTGGAGCTGCTAGTGGTTTTGAACGGCCGACCACGCGACTGCAGCCCGACTCATAACCATTGCACTGACCAGGGGTCCGGCTGACTCATGGCACATCTGCCTCCCGTGGCCCAGTGGTGGCCTGAGCTGCTGGGCCCAGGTTTTCAGTGGCTCGTGGGCCCACTCTGAAGAACAGGAGAAGATCAAGGACTGATGCTGGTCGGATCGAGGAAGGCAGCCTTCCCCGTGGATTGCGTCTCAATGTCCAGAAGACCCAGATCTTTGCCAGGGGGCCAACAGATGAACTCATGGTAAGTGGAGAAACGATGGGAGTTTCCTCCGGCTCGGGTGCACCATGGGTGCTCATGGAAGCAGCACTCCTGAGGTCGGAGGACGCTTTGCGCTGGGAGGCTCTCCTGCAGGAGACTGTTTTAACGTTTTGAGCAGCAAGGATGTCACTTGGCGGACTAAGGTGCGCCTGACCCAAGCCAGGACCCTGGCCACGCTTTCACGGGCATGTGAAAGTTGGACATCGAGTAAAGACCAAGAGTGGGGGACCAGTCTTTACAACCGAATGGTGCTAAGGGGTGGCTGTGTAGTCGAAGGGTAAGTTAAAGAAATAACAGACAAGGCATGCAAGGGCTCACCTCCTCCGTGGAGACTGGAACCAGAGAGAGAGCAAATGTATTCTCCCACAGGCTGATATAATCCTGGGTTAGCATGCCCCAGTGAGCACATGTGTAACAGGAAGGGAAGGTACTAGGGCAGTGGTTCTCACCTTCCTAATGCCGTGACCCTCTAACACAGTTCCGCATGTGGTGGTGACCCCCGAGCATAAAGTTACTTTCATCGCTACTTCATAACTGTAATTCTGATACTGTTATGAACTGTCATGTAAATATCTGATATGCAGGATGTATTTTCTTTTTTTCTTTAATCATTTTATTGGAGGCTCATACAACTCTTATCACCATCCATCCATACATCAATTGTGTAAAGCACATTCGTACATTCCTTGCTCTCATCATTCTCAAAACATTTGCTCTCCACTTAAGCCCCCAGCATCAGCTCCTCATTTTTTCCCCTCCCTCCCCGCTGCCCCCTCCCTCATGAACCCTTGATAATTTATAAATATTATTATTTTGTCATGTCTTACATTTTGTCATGTCTGACATCTCCCTTCACCCACTTTTCTGTTGTCTGTCCCCCAGGGAGGAGGTTATATGTAAATCCCTGTAATTGGTTCTCCTTTTCCACCCTACCCTCCCTCCACCGCAGGATATATTTTCATTGTTACAAATGGAACATAATTGAACAAAAGCATAGTGATTAATCACAAAAAGAATATGTAGTTATATTTTGCGAAATATGTCTTTCTAATGACAAATAAATGAAAATTTGTCTGGAAGCATGGTGTAGCATGGGTAACAGTCTTCATGTGGGTACGCATATGTGGGCGTATCTGAATGTGGGTGGACCCGCCTGGAGACGATGGATAGAGGAGCGGTGTCTCGGTGCCTAAGACCATGGGAAAGTGTGTTCTCCAACGGTCTTAGGTGACCCCTGTGAAAGGGCCGTTCAACCCCCAAAGGGGTCGCGACCCACAGGTTGAGAACTGCTGTGCTAGGGGCATATACAGGAAGGTGGGCGGGTTCTGGAGTTGAGACGGCAGCTTTACCTGGGCCGTCCCTGAGCTGGCTTGACCTTAGGAGTCCCTGAGCTCTTCTCCAGGGGAACAATCTATGAGCCTTATCCGCAGGGAGCGGGCCGTGTACTTAGGGTGGCACAGGCGATGGGGTCTGATTGCCCTCTGTGGTATAGGCAGCAATCATGAGCTGGCGAGAAGCACCTGAAGGTTGGCATTGTAAAGGGGGGCGTTATCGGGGACCGCTTTAGTTAGGAGGAAGTGACTGGGATTCGTCCCCCGCTCACCAACGCGAAGGCCTCCCTCCACCAGAGTCCGCCTTCCAGACTCCTCATGA